AACGCCACCATAAAGCACAGTGTCTTTGGGGTGTCCAAGTCAAGGCTGACGCTTCTAACGCAGCGGCAGAAGGATCCATCCGTCTGCCAAAAGATTAGGCAAGAAAAAGGAGACACTGCATCTTTTTTGTTTGTTTTTGTCCCCACCACATTGCCCAGTTCTAGCAAAGGGCTAAGACGTTTTCTTTGGGCCAAGACTAACAGAAACCACGTTATCAAATATTCTTCAGGTTTCCTGCCAAACTGCATTTCTTATTTTCATGTGGGTTTTTTTAATTTTCTTTTTTTTTTAAAAACATTTTTTCCTGACAGTCTCTAAAGGGATACTGGAACGTTTTAACAGTCACTCTTCCACAGTTTAATTGTTTTGTCGTTTTCTAGCGCCGCTGATGCAATGATGTTTTCTGTTGGGTGACAAGCTGTTGAGATGACAACATCTAAGCAAAAAGAGAGGATACACAAATATTATTTACAGCAATGAAATCTGGTTCATAGCAGGCGTTTCTGAAAATGAATGCATTGCTGCTGCAGTTTAAACTGGCACAGCCAAGCTACTGTTTCTCTGTAGCAGAATTACAGATGCATTATTCAAATATTTTCCAACTATTGCTTCTCTGAGAGAGGAAATACTAGCAAAAAGGAATGGAGAGTAATAGTTGGAAAGTGTTTGACAGGTTTCAAAATGTGAGAACTCTCCAGATCCTAGTTCTTGTTCACTTCACAGGCAAAACTCTTGGTATATTGTGTCAGAGACAGCTAATGAAATCCCAGGTCAGTTTTTTCTTTCCATGTAAGGTATTTCCAACATCTTATTCAATGTCCAGACAACACTTCATCTTCAGAGCCTTGCCCTAGCCTGAAAAATGAAAACCTGCTGCTACTGCCCCAACTTACAGTCCAAATCAACAGTCCTGCAAAGGAATAAGCACGCTTAAGTTGCACAGCACAAGTCCTAGTTGGTACGGTGAAAGTGCTGCTCTCTCACGGGCTCAGACTGTCACCCACCAGGTGACATCCCAACACGTGCTCAGCTCTGCCTTCACGAACAGGCATACGTGCAGACACCTGCAAAGAGCAGGACCACGTCAGCCCTCCTCCCTTCAAGAGCTGCAGCTTTGGAGGGTGTTAACGGCAACTCAAAGCCACATTAACACTGGAAGTTGTTTAAATACCTTGACCAGTTCTGAACTCAAGAAAATCTCTTTTGCAAGCTGATGACAAAGATCTCACAGTGACAGAATAAACACCTGCAATGCTTATAGAACAACTTCATAAAAAAGGAGCAAACTCCTAGGGTTCAGTTAAGCTTCAGCCAGTCAAGAATTTACAGGCCTGACAGTCAAAACTAAACATCAGAGAAAAACTGCTCAAGCCAAGCCCTCATTACAAGCTGACACGAGGGACATTCCGTCAATAGAACCAAAATCCTCTTCCACACCTGTGTGTCCTTGTAATTTCTGTACAATCTCTTTTGTCTGAAGGTTCCAAATGTAAACCAGGTTGTCTTCCGAACCGGACACGATCCACTGGAGGGGCAGAGAAAACACACACTTAGATTAATCTTTCTCCTTCTCTGTAGCTAACTGCTATTGTTCAGTAAACATTTCACTGTCATGACGTGAAAGGGAACTTCCAACATTACGGCTGCTTGATGCGGCTCGTTCTCTCTCAGCCTCTATTCAGCGCACACCGGCAGCGGAAAGCTTGGTTCCACCCCATCTATGCGGGAGGAGGAAAACTAGAGGAGCTGATTCTGTGTTAGGACTTCATTGCTACCGACTCGCCGTGATCTCAACCAGAACACACCGAGCTGCGGCCGAGTGCTGCACGGCTACGGCAGCGCGACACGCAAAGAGCCGCTCTCCTGCTGCGGGTAAGCCCTTTGCTCGGGCGCAGACACCTTGGGGCGCGGGGGGACTTGTCTAGGACGCCCTCTTCTCCCGCTGCTCTGGTACCAGTGAAGCAGCACCCACCCAGGGACGTTTCCATCCCCAAATGACTGTTTCTTCTACAGAGAAAAGCAGTAAAAACCACACGGCGGTAAAAAGCATCTCAAACAAACACTAACCTTTCCACCAGTAACGGAGAAATTTGCAAATATGCAGTACTTCTCGTTTTTGTGTCCTGTATACGTCTTCAGGCACTGCAAGTGAGGAGCCACAGAACATCAGTACAGCTGGGAGGTAGTTTCCTCAGCCAAGGACAAACTCTTGGCAGAAAAGACTAAATATAGCTGCCTGCGCTTCCCACCCTGCCAACTTATCGAGGGGATACAGAGGGCATCTCTCTCCTGGAACACTAAACGATTGGTCAGGGCAGGGGGAAGCCCTAAATTTGTCTCATTACCACAGAGAAAGAGAACAGCAGCAATCTATTGTTCACAAAGAGGAAAATGCGAAAACGCAGCTTTACTTAATGTCTCAGGGCCATGCAGGAGCCTAATCTCTTTTTTCTTTTAATCCAAAGGCATTTGGATTGAGACCCCCCAGTAAAAGGATAGTAACACTTTTTTTCTACAGTATTCATAAAATGTTAAACAAGCTTAAAAGGCACATATAAAATCCACATTTTTCTACAAGCTTAGTTAAGTCTACATCGCAAGACAGGATTGGTTTTACCTTTCCTTTGCTGTAGTCCCAAAGTTTGAGAGTGCTAGAAAACAACAGAAAAACAAAGATTTTAGCTCTTGGTTGGGTTTTTTTTTCCCCCATCTGACAATTTCCCAAGTTCCCTTATAGCAGAATTCTTAAAATCTACATGGATCCTTTCAGCCTAGGTTCAGAGCGCAGCGTCTGTTAAACCCACAGTGTCACCTTTACTGCGATGACATTCCTATTCCCCTCCATAAAAGTGTGTATTGAAACATTTTCCCATCCCTGCAAGGTTCTTTATAAATAATGACCAGACAACCAAGGAAACGACAGGCAGGGTAACAGACAAATAAGGCGGTTTGGCAGACATCCCCCAACTCCCAGTGCCTTCAAAAGACTCACAGATTTCATCAGACAGCATCTTCCTCAGGGTGAGAAACCACTACAACCAGGGATGGCCCTACAAACTGTCCCCTTTCCCCCAGCTGCCTCAAGATCAAATCCCACTCAACGTAGGTACAGACCAGAATGTGCACACGCTGCCCTAACGGTACAACTTGCAGTCCTGCCCCGGGGTGTTCAGGGGAGTAAACAATAGATGGAGACATCCTCAGCCTGTTCAAGCCTAAACCAGCGCAGAGCAAGTAAGCATGCTACTGAGCACCACTTGTGCACGGAGCAAGCCGCTTCTTTCAGGCAAGCACCAGGGTCCCCACAGGTTAAGCAAGCCCCATACATGTCCAGAGACCGCCCATCTGAACTGACACCCAGGCGACTGCCAGAGCTTGCCAGGTAGTCCCCTTTCTCTCCCCAAGGGAGCCTAGCCCGGGACTTCCTCGCTTTTCACAGACTTGCTGAAAATGACAGGCAACAGGCTGTGGCATCTTCTGTACAGAGATGCTCAACCAGGGAGGGCAACAACCTCTCAACCTACGAGAAGGGAGGTCTCATGAAAGCAACAGCATCATGACCATCTGTGAATGGTGATGATAAACCAGCTAATCACTTCTTAGTAGCTGCATGGAAATTCTCCAGGTGAATCATTCTCAATACAATCAGCCCACCCACACTCCTTTTATGCCTTACACACACAGGTATTTATATACTGCAGCCTCTTATAGGCTAGATTTTCTGTCTCTCCATGTCACAGAGGAATCATACAATTAATGCAAGGAAATGCTGAGGTTGTGAAAGGTACGTTAAGGAATGAATGGGTGCTGCAGTCACTAAGCAGCGCTGAAAAGACCCAAGTACTGTGTTCAGCTCTGGGGACCCCAACATAAGGATATCGACCTGTTGGAGTGAGTCCAGAGGAAGCCACAGAGATGTTCCAAGGGCTGGAGCCCCTCTGACATGGGGACAGGCTGGGAGAGTTGGGGGGTCTGAAGAAGAGAAGGCTCGAGGGCGCCCTTATAGCACCTTCCAGTGCCTGCGGGGGCTACAAGAAAGCTCTGGGGGGACTTTTCCTAAGGGCAGGGAGTGACAGGACAAGGGGTAATGGGTTTAAATTGAAAGCAAATTCAACTTGGATATCAGGGAAAAATTCTTCCCGGAGAGGGTGGGGAGGCACTGGGACAGGTTGCCCAGAGAAGCTGTGGATACCCCATCCCTGGAAGTGTCCAAGGCCAGGCTGGATGAGGCTTGGAGCAACCTGGTCTGGTGGAAGGTGTCCCTGCCCATGGCAGGGGGGGGGACTGGGGGGGCTAAATGTAAAGTTCCTTCCAACCCAAACCAGTCTGTGATTCTGTGATGTCCTGCCCACGCTGCCAGCAAAGCACAACACCTTGCAGGCTTTTTAAGTCTGACATGAGGCACATATGAACTTGTGTAGTACCATAACTATAATAGCTAAACAGCAGCAAAATAAAGTTTTAGCTGATACTCATAAGCACGTCAAGGCCCACTAGGTTTTGTTGGCTCGTTGGGTTTTTTTTAAAATACCTACTTGTCCAAAGTTGCAGCTAGTATGTATTTGCCATTGGGGGAGAATTTCACAAAAGACACAGGAGGGTTATCATCATCTACAGTGAAAATAAAAGCATTATTAAACAGTGCACAATTGTATTGTCTCATGGACTGAGAATTTCTTTTGACAATAACTTTCTGTTAGGTTTTCACTGAAGCAAGCTTTCAGTTTTGTCATGCTTTGGTACTTCAAGAAAGAGAGAGGCATAAGAAAGGCAATTGTTTTCAGTAATTTAAGGAAAGGATATTAGGCATTTTTTCCCTCACAAACATGTTAAATAACCCTTTGTAAATGAACTTTCCTTCCTTGCATCAATACATATCAGAGCAAGTCTGTATCTCTACTTTTTAACTCATTGTATTGGAAAACATGTCATTGATTCGCAGTGCCAAATAACTTGCATAAACAATCCCTTTTAAGAATATGAAGGACCAGGGAACACGTGCCCAACAGGTGGTTTTGTTTTATTAGCCATGTTCACAAGATGCCTCACGCATCTGGCAATAAAACTGGGAGCTTGTGTAGTCACAGGCTACCTTTTCTCCTCACATCCAAAGCGGTAACGCCAGTCTGTGCTGCT